TTTGGGAAAGTTTGGGGCAGGGGCGGCCGGTCAATAGAGGGCGCTAGGGCCACGCCCCCACCACGAAGCTAAATCACCTTGCACAAGACAACAATTTAAAAAAAAAAAATGAAACACAACAATAAAATATTTGAAAATATATGTATGATGTTGTGTGTTTCGATAAGCTACAGTTAAGGAGGAGTAAAACTGTCTCATTTATCTCTGTTGTCTCATTTCATGACAACTTCCGGTTCAGGGCGCAACGATGAAGCTGAAAGTGAAACGAGAAGGCTGGACTCCTCGCAGCAATTCTTTTCTCTGTATTTGTTAATTACGGTAGATTAGTCACTTGTAGACAGTCAAACTCTAAAGAGGGAATTGACTTGAGCATATTTGATGATCTAATAACCTTGCTTGCGGCCTCGGAGGGGTTTTAAATTTGACCCCCATAACCGAAAGAGTGCAAGGTGCAATTTGCAAATGATGCTGGCCACTGGTTCCACTCAAACTCGATTCAGAAAACGCCGGCTTGAACTTTAACCCTGGAACGAGCATCATTACACAATCTGACAGCGCAAAATCGATGTTGTCTTCTTATTTGTCAATTGAACTGGAGCACGCAAGAGGGAGACCAAAACTGAACATGTTCAATTGATCTTCTTCTCGATTTTGATTCGTGTACAGCACTTTGTTGCAGCTGCGATTGTTCTTCAAATGCTTTACAAATAAAATTTGAGTTGAGAGTTCACTAACTGGCCAAAATGATCATCTCAGATTATCATCAAATAAATATCCGTTTGAAAAGTTCAGTTTTGGAAATAGTCAGCGACCGCAGCGCACATATAGACAAACTACCGTTCGCATTCACATTGCTACACGTGGACAATTTAGAGTCTTCAATGACCCTAGCATGCATGTTTTTGGAATGTACGAGGAAACCGGACTACTTGATTCCTATTTATTCCAATAAATTTCAGTGAATTCCCATGGAAGTTTCCAAGTTGGAAAAGTCCCGGAATTTTGCAACCCAAATTCCAGAGAGGCTCGTCTCCTCAAGGCTGCAGGTGTCCCTCAGGGCACAAATGAAGTGAGGTAGAAGGTTTTTTTTTCCACCCCTCCATTTCACACCTTCACCATTTTTCCTTTTTCACCCCCCCCCCTCCTCCACCCCACAAAATGTTCCAAAGAATTTGAACAAAGCAAGTCCTCTGTCCGGGCTACACAGAGCTCTCGTCCGGCCTGGGTATCAGCTGAGTGCATTTACGCTTCTCCAGGATCCTGTTGAGCTCGTCGGCGAAGGTCGAGCAGAGCGGCGAGGCGCGCTCCGCGTCGCTCTGATTGAGCAGCACGTAGCTGTTGCCGTGCATCCGCCGCAGGACGCTGGGCAGAGCGGCCGACAGCCCGTTGGCGAAGTTGCACTCTGGCGCGGCGGGCAGCGGAGGGGCCGGCGGCGGCGGGTTAATTTCCGTGTTGGGCGAGGGGTAAGCCTCTCCCGGGACGATTTGGAGGAAGCCTCCGTCGCGGATGTTGCCGTTGGGGAGCTTCGAGATGCCGTTGTGGACGCCGTGTCCGTTATTGGAGATGGTCTTCAGCTCCAAGCTGGCAGAATTGCGTTGCTGTTTCCTGTGGTTTCTCTTCGCGCCTTGATAGACGGCGGTGGCCGTGGGTAGCGAGTACTTCCCTCGGGTGCCCACTCGCAGGCAAAAGCCTACGTAGAACAGCACCACGGTGAGAACCACGCACAGGCTGCCCAGGATGGTGATGAGCGACAGATACACGGCTTCCATGCTCTTGGCGGAGAGCATCTTGGAGTGCGGCATCCGAGGCGCCGGGGCGGCGGCCCCCTCGGAGGGAGTGGGCAGCGGCAAGGCGGGAAAGCGGCGGCGAGGGTCTTTCGTGGGTGGAAAAGGCAGGTCGGGAGCGACGGTGACGTTATAGGTAACCACGGCAACCTGGATTTGGTTCTCCACGGCGTAGCAGGTGTAAAGGCCGCTCTGGTCCCTGCGGGCCCGGATGATGAGCAGGCCGTCTGTGCCGGTCCGGAAGCCGGAGCTGAGCCCGTAGCCGTGCAGTTCCTGGCCGTCCAGCGTCCACAACGGCGCGGCCAGGTTGGAGCTCAGCTCGCACTGCAGGAGCACGTCGTCGCCCACTCGCACGGAGCGGCTGTGTGTGGACACGTCTGGAAGAGGGAGAGAAGGCCAATTTCAGACCGTGTCGTTTTGGATTTTTCATATATACACAATATAGAGTATCTTTTTATTTTGCCTTTATTTTGTTTTTTTAGTTCATTTTAATTATTGTTTAAAGTGGGTCTGTTAGTTTGCATTCGTTTTTAATTTATTGATAGTGCTCCTTTTTAGTTTGTTTTTATTAGTTTTAGTATTAGTTTTAGTTTTATTATAAGTTGTCGAGTTCAAGAGGAAGAAAAAATGAGTATGAAGTAAAGTAAAAAAAGAGTAATTCCTGAGTGAGGCGGGACGGTACTATGGAAATAAATACTTTTGAAATCAACCCCGAAAGCACGTTGGAAATTAATTCACGAAAGAAGAAAAATGACATTTTCACTCTAATTGTAGTATTAGTTTTCTAAAACATAAAATGTCTTTTTTTAATCGCACTCCTTTAGCTTAACTGCAATTCGTTCACAAAAATGTTTTTCCAATTTTAGTTTTTGTTATTTCATTAGTTTTCGCTAAATATAATAATCTTGTTGTACGCTAAAAATTGCGATTTAACACATACCTTCACCTTTCAATCTGACAAATACATGAACCGTTACACCCCTGGCTCATGTTTTTTTTTTTTCTCACCCATAGGTAGGACAAGCTGCCTTTTTAAAAATATCCCTGTCGACAATGTCCTCTGTGTCACATTTCATAAAACAGTTCCTGAACATCTTGCATATATTATATATATCAAAGGCTGTCAAAAGTTTTCAACTTGTATTGCTTTCAGCCATTTTATCACCTAGCACAGCCCAAAACAAGGAGCTGCCACAATTGATCAGATTGAAACCGCGAAGAAGACGGCGGCGGCATTCTCCTCCCATGAATATCAAGCAGATCTCCCTCAGAACGGGATTAAAAGAACAGAGGAGAGCACCGCGCGCATAATCAGCTTTCAAAAAGGGCTCTACATGCCCAACGATGCATCTTTTTTTTTTTTTTTGTCTGACTTGCTTTAATTTCTCTTTCATCACTGATATTCATTGAAGGGAAACTTTTGGGAGAATTCCACGCACCGACTTGAGTGTTGTCACACCCTCTGTTGCCTTTCTGGATGTCCTGGATTAGCGTGGATCTGCGAGGGTGCGGCGAGAAAACAACACATGAATGCAAAACATCGACATGTTATTTGATGCTCTTTGCTCCGACGGGAACATGCCGTACCGCGCTGTATTTGGCATACAGTGAACACGTTTAAATATACAAAATAGAAAACGGATGAATCGCGTTTTAAGAGGATTTGTTTGTGCTAAAATATTGAACTGCTGAATACAGGCGTTTATGGAACGTTTTTTGCTGTTCGTGTACATGCTAGATGCATGGTGTTCGTGCTTGATAAAGTTTAATTCAACAATATTTTCAAAACATTTTAATGAACCAAATTTTAGGCGGCAAGAGTTTCGGATTTCAAAGCCTACCGTGGGCGATCAAGTGTACCTGTTGGAAACGTGGCTTGGTAATACACAGCTGCACACAGTGTTTACTTTCAGCTCACGGTTGTTTCTGCCAACAGCGCGATTACGTAATACTTCTTCGAAAAGACGCAGTGACAGGGCACAGTGCTGTTTGAGGTGAGTCAAAAAGGCAACCGGCAGCCTTTTGATCACCTCACTCGATCACACGCGCGGGCATGGACGTACATTCGCTTCTCCCCGTCGTTTAGCGGTGTTTCTATTTTCATTATTTGCGAGAAGGAGGCGCCGTAACTTTGCTGAAAATGGAAAGTGGACCTGTTGTGCGGTGCTTCTCGTTGAAAAACATGCTGAGACATGCACGCACCCCATCGCGTGCAAGCTCACTCACTCGCTCACAGCCTGGGAGTGAGATGGCGGGTGAGTGCACTCACTCACTTATCCAGACGCATACTCACCGGCTCACACTTATTCATTCACTCACTCCCTCACATTGTCACACTCTCACTCTCACTCCCACACAGTCAGAGAAAGAAAACGCACTTGTCCGGGTACACCATGACGTCCGCGCAATGGTAACCATTCCAGGCGCAGTGAGGGTCCCTGGCGAAGATGCAATCGTAGCAGGAAGTGTACCTTTGGCAATTGAACAGGGGCAGCTGCACCACGCCTGACGGAGAGCCCACGTACACGCTCAGCTGTTACACATAGGACAAATACAAAAACGCTGTGAAAAACGTGCGTGTGTGTGTGTCTGTGTGTGTGTGTGTGTATCAGACACACTACCATTCGATCAGAGATGAGCACATTGTCCACAGGCTGCGGTTCTTCAAAGAGCTGCAGCTCCTCGATGATGTGCAGCTGACCGTTGACGTGCACGGCCTTGTGCAGCCAGCCCTCATCTGAGGGACACGTTGACAGCGCGAGGCTGAATTATGCACTCAACTGTGACCACACGCATCATTTCAAGCCCCCCACGATTATTATTTCTGTGGGGCCACGACAGAAACAAACGATTCAAATCGATCGCATCACACTCGCCAGTAAAGCTGATGAATGTACGGTATTTGATCAATTTTGCAGTTGCATATTTCTGTTACACAAAGAGGTTTGAACTATTTACATGGGCGGGGGTATTATAAAAATGATAAATTCCACAACTCCACAAACAGCCAGGGTTCAATGTAAATCAATACGATACTGAGGTAAGTGTTCGAAAATGTCAAGCTGCTTCCCAGTGGTGCCCACCTGTCCCCATGTATAATACATGGTACTCTTGCCCATCCAAGCCTTGGATCGTGTTCACAGCCATGTGGGTGTAGTCGGTGGTCCTCCTGAACAACAGGGGGCGGCGGTCGAAAGCCCGGACCTGCTGGGACATCAGCGGGTGCCTTCGGACAAAGTTGAGCACGTCATCGGGCAGGGAGGTGGACGCGTTGACGCCCTTGGCCCTTGTGGTGTCTGTGATACACTGAGGGGGGGGCGGAAAGTATGTCTTTTTAACTGGTTTCGGCGTGTTTTTGCGTTTTATACAGTGAATCCCAAGAGTTGGTTCCATTCGGATTTCTTTGCGAATAAGATGGGGCCTGGTACGGATGATTTTTACCAAAGAGCACTTTTAGGCATGGGCCAGTATCGATACCAAGTATCGGTACCAGGCAGATACTGGCCTGATTTCAAGGTATCGGATACTCATGGAGGGTGCCGATATAAGCCACTAACAACTGCAAACAAACAACAACAAAAAAGGGGGCATTTTGATAATAATTCTACTGCTTTGTAACACAGACAGATTTAACAATTTCTTAAACTGCAAACTCCCACTTGAAGCAGAGTACCACCATCTTTGTACTTCGATAATTGCTACCGGGAAGAAGGACGCTGAGAAGTGTGAGGTGGTGTCAAGAGGCTCATAGAGTGCTCAAGCATGCAAGGAAACCGCAACCCATTTAGCCACTCGGCTCTAAACACCCGATTGAACATCCAAAGGTCCTTTCCTCAAATGAGCGCGGCCGACTCATTTAAGCGGCTTTCCCGCTCCCCTTGACCGTCTGCGGCTTTGCCTTTAATAGCGAAGTTGAAAATGAAGTGTTCAAGTGGCAGCGCGGCGGATAATGTCTGCTCTTCGCTAAGTGAGTCACGGCCCGGGCTGTCGCGCGACTAAGACCTCGCCGCCGGAGCTGCACGCCGCAGTTAATTGCAGGGATCTAAGCCGGTTGGGGTTCGGAGTCTCGTCTTCTTCATTTTCCAGACTCATCCTCAATATCAGCCTCCCGCATCTTCTAATCTGCCTCCTTTTTGGATCTCTGCGAAGTATCAGTTACATTTGATCTCCGTCAAGAGGCAGGAGCTTTTCATTTTGCTTATTATGCTTGATGAGGTGCGCGTAAGCCACCCTGGGACGAGTGTTGGCGAGGGAGAACGGGATGTTGAAGTGGACGCATGGCTTTCAACATCCCAATAATTCAGTCATTTCATGAAAAGTCGACCTAACAATGGCTCATGAATGCAAGGTGTGTGTATGAGTGTTTACCGTTCCCGGTCGTGGGTCAGGAATTTTTCCACTGTACTCCTTCCAATTGGAGTCCTGCGTCTCCATGTAAGGCCCTCGGAAGGCCTCTTGAACATCAGACAGCGAGAAGCGACACAACGCAGACGCTTTTATGTTTTTCCTAAAAAAAAAAAAAAAAAAGATAAATAAATAACAGAAACAAACACGCACGCACACGCAGTGAGTGAGAGCAGAGCACATAGCGTGAGCGGCAACAGCGATAAACCCAGCATTACCATGGCGACCGCGGTAGAAGTACAGTAGATCAGTGGCGCACCGAGTTTAGAAGATGAAATAACAAGATAAATGGGGAAGAGGAAAGAGGAGGGAAGGCACAGGAGAAGTTCTGGCAGAGATGCGAGGAGAAGATTAGAGAGGACGAGAGAAGACGTGTCCAAAATGCAGTCGGAGGTGAGAAGCAGGAGTCGAGAATGTGGAAACGCAGCCGAGTAAAACCGGGTTATACACTTTCGCTAAAATTATTTGCACAATATATCATAATTTGACAAATATAACACACAAACTCCATTTTGAAAAGCGCTTGGGCAACTGTGGCAGTTTGGCAGATTCTACCATAAAACATCCCAATGCTTGTTTTAAGCTAGCAGTTGAAGTTTATTTTCTACTACCCAGCTAAACATGAAACAAAGAATTACACTTTGTGTATTTAATCAGATCCCATTAAGACTTAATGGGATCTGATTAAATAAAATCTTAATGATTAAGTGTATCCTACAAAAGTCTGCTATCTTAATGCTGACGCGCGCTAACAAAACTAGCGGCGGTGTCAAGGTAATTGTAACCCTGAAACAATTTAGATTTTGAAGACAAGTAGAGAGATCATACAACAAAACTCACAAGCATATGTTCTTTATCCTCCACAAAATTATTTATCTGTATTTTTTATTTTTTTTTTGACAGCCCACCAGAAAGAACAGTACAAATTTCCTTCGATTTTAATTTGGAATGTTCCATATCACTTTTCTCCGGACCGATACCAGTAGTTTTATTTTGATAAATAACATTTCATTTAATACAACGACGGCTGCCGTTTATTTTAATAAAATATTATGAGTTTACAGTACGTTTGGAAATCCGATTTCTCTCCAAATGGTCTTTTCCCACTGAAACAGATTCAAATCTGCATTTTTCATCTATTCTCCACCACATTTTCCTTTCATTACTTTTTATCTTCGCCGTCTCATCCTTTCCTACCTTTCAGCTCGCTATGACTGACTGTCTTAACACATTGATCTCGGACTTTGATCACCCTTTCCCCCCCGCACCCCGCTACTCACCAGCCCAGACCGAAGATGGCGTAGAAGAGCGTGTCTCCCGGCGTGTCTCCGGGCACAACGAAGACGCTGCGGAGCATGTTGAAGTGGAAGTCGTACTCGGGGAGGGAGCACGTCAGCCGGGCCTTGAGGAAGGACGTCCAGCGCTTCTGGAGAGTCAGAAGGCCTCCTCGGTCTCCCTGAGGCGGAATAGGTGCAGGCAGAGGGTCGAATACAAAAAAAAAAAAAAAAAAGCAGATTCTCGACTAAAGTTGGCACACACCGCCACCAGTTGCCCATCCTTCCACTACACATTCAAACAGCACAACAAAATAGCCAAAGATGCCCCTATAGAGTGGCAAGGGAGTAATTCTTGAAGACAGTCAGTGTGTATTTCCTTCCATTTTAGTTCCTGCGTAATGGCCACTTTCATCCACATAGCGCACAACAATCAAACCGAGACTCATTAAAGAAGTTGCAGTGAAGACGGCGACGAAGTTTAACAATCTGTCACCATCTCCATAATCCATCCCGACGAGACATTTATCCTCCCCGCAGTCGGCTTCTCTAATCATTCCCAGGGCTTCACGACAAATACCTTCCATCATTCATTATGTTCAGGATTCCTTGGGTATCCGAGGCTCGGCTCACCTTGCAAATCCGAGCCACTCGCGCCACTCTGCTGTGGCCGCCGGAGGCGGCGCCGTGTTCCTGGCCGCCCTCGGTGAAAAAGAAGTAGATCTTGTCGTCGTCGCCCGCGATACCGCTGCTCAAGCTCTCCCTCACCAGCGCTGAGCTTACAAAGTTGGCCTCTGGATGAGGGAAGCGGGAATGACCAGAAATGGAGAGTAGAGTAAAAACAGTGAGAGAAAGGGACTAACAGGGGACAGACGTGAACTGTTCCTTCCGCATGTGTTACTCGCCAACGGACGAAGTGACAGCTATTGGAAAACTACAGTTGTTTGTTTACATTCAACCCATCAGCTGCTGCAGTCAACTCGATTCCAATTACTTTGCCTTCATACTGGCCAGTGGTGACTTCACACGTTTCTCACTCTCATCTACAAAAAGTCGAACATTTCCAAGGAAAGTAAATACTCAAGTAAAGTACAGACAGCTGAAATGTCTACGTTAAGTACAGTAAGAAAGTATCTGCACTACTTCCCACTGCTGGGAAAGGACCGATTTTCATTCCCTGCTGAGACCCAATTATATTTGGAGCTCATGTTTATGCATGGTCTCAGAGAAGTCACTGACACTAACAGGAGAGGCTCTTGCTGATCCCGCTTGTTAGGAAACAAGCATTAAGATGCACCGCCCGAGATTTCACTCAGTAGGCTTGGCAAATATCCCCTGAAACAGCGACAAGCAACATTTTCAGGCTTTTTTTTTTTTTCACCCCAACACAACAACAAAAATCTGATTTATAGTATCCTAGACATCGTTAGCTTAGCGGTAGGCAAGTTTTCGACTTTTACAATAAATCGATTATTTTTAATGATCAATAAATTAGAATGAATTAACCGGTTCTTTAATAAAATAAATTAAAAGATGTTAACTGTGTTTTTTTTTTTTTCTCCCTATAAGTGCTTTGCCTCGGTTTGGTTCTACTTGGCTGAAAAAATATTTCACAGGTGGTACATCACTGAAAAATGATTGAGAACCACTCTTATCAATGCTCAATAAGCCCACCACCGCCCTATCTTGATGATTTATTTATTTTTTTAAATTGGGTTAAAATGTCGCTTCTCACCGTTCAGCCATCGCGTTGGAGCGTCCTCAGTCTTCAGAGTGGGAGAGTTTCGTCGGATATCTGGGAAGCTTCGAAACTCATATTGCGAAGCGGTAAACAGCTCCTGATCTGAGAGAGAACCAGTCAAATGAGGTTTCGGGGTTCTTTTTTGGGGTGAGAGGTCAGGTCTCTGTACAATGTCCCTACCAACGATCAGGCCAGTGTATCCAGTTGTCGGGCTGTAGGGACATTTGTCTCGGCCCTCTTCGGGCGGAGACATCACAAATGTCTCAGCATCCTGTAAAAAAACAAAAAAGATAAAAAAAAACACATTAGCCTTCAGTGTACATTATACAGTGAAACCTCAAAAGTTGCAGAGCAATCTCTCATTCAGGCTATAATGAAAAGCGAATTCATCATTAAAAAAAAACAAAATAAAAAAAACAGAATAGTACAATAAAAATTTAAGGTTCATTCAGGATGGCTATGCAAATTTACAAATTAATGTACCACGCAAATTACTGCTGTAGGTGAAAATAGTCATTCTACATGTATTAAAAATACAGAAATGTATTTTAGCTTATTAAGTTGTCATAACAACCAGGCACCCGAGTCTTAGGGCCTTGTCAGTCCCAAGGCTGCAATACAGCACTTACGTGCGGCAAGGTAGCCTTGTGAACGTCAAGGTCGGAACATGGAAAAATTCAAATAAATGCAATCAAAAGAAGGACAAAGAGAAATAGAGCGGTGGGATCGAAGCACTTCTGCCTCATTGCTCTGAGGTTCAGGGTTCAAATCTGACTACGGATGGCTTGCAACACAAAGCAAAATATTTGACCAAGCGACAGCTCGACAAGCAAAGAAAAACATTCATATCGTTACAGACCACTGTGAAAATCAGCAACATCTGAATTTAAATGCAACATGAAAGCAGGGGCCGGACATACTATATATGCACACAGAGGACTGAAGGCGTGAGTTCCGCACATGTAGAGATGCGTCGAATTGAACCTCTGCAGGAGGCGGATGTGATTAAAACACTCCGTCTGGTGGGAGAAGAGGGGGAAAAAAATGATTCGGTGAGGATATAAATACAAAACGAAAGGGGGGGGAAGTTAAATGTCCACCTTGTTGTCTTTCCCCTTGAGTAGACATTGCCGTTTTTGCTCGGCGGAGGCCTCCCACTCAATCTGATGGAACGAAACGCACAATAAAACAGGAGGTTACATGGCACTGACGAGTCTTGTATGAATGATGGATGATTTTTTATTTTTGGCCTTGAGTTCGGAATTTCCAGAGTAGAATGATTATCATGCATATTAGGAGCTCCATTTGAAATAATTCTTGCAACATCAATGATGTGATCAAAGACTGCCATTCAGTCTCCCTATGCTAGCGTAGCGGTTATTTTTAGCACCTACACAACCAGTCTCTTTGGAGATAGCATGAACACAAGGACGCATCGGGAAACAAGTATTAGAGAGCTTCACTTTTTACACATTTTATATGAAAGCCATACTGCAAAGTGAACTGAATTCTTTTTTTTTTGGACCTTCTAAGTATTTATTGCTGTGACAAGCCTAATACGAAATCTGAATTTTAGTTTGACTTGTGTGGGGCTACCACTAAACATGAGTTTGAAAATGGAACAAAACCACATCACCCGTTTGTAACTGTACCAAGGTAAAGCATTCAAAGTAAAAAAAAAAAAAAAAAAAAAGTCAGGAAAAGCCGACAAGAACAGCTGAACTTTATTTGGGGTTCATTAGAGGCACTTTAAATGGTGCTGGGTGCCTGCTGCCGACTCCCTTTTAACGAGTTTGAACACAATGGGGTTTTTTTTTAACACAGCACTTCCCAACTTTAAAACCGTAATTAAGTAACTCAAGCAAATTAAGCACAAAAATGGCAGGAACATTACAAGAACAGCTGAACTTTATCCGTAGTGTATCAAAGGCACTATAAATGATGACGGGCGTTTGGCGATTCACATTTAATATGAGTTTCAACGTGATTTGGTCATTCTGAACACGGTCAATTTGTAACTCTAAGTAAATGTTGCAAAGAGAAACGGGCCGCGCGAGCCAAAGAGCGGTGTGCCAAGCTCGTAGCATCATTTTGCAAGAGAGTTAATGCTGGGATTTCTGCCGAAGGTGCATCGACAAAGTATTGAGCAAAAAATAAATTAAAAAAGGGATGCACTTCCCACACTGGAAAGACTGGTTGAGGCACTCTAACTGGCATGCTAATTCATGCCAAATCGTAAGGGCCTGATTTACTCACATTCAAAACAGCAATTGGAAGAAGGAAACAAACAAACAAAACGACTGAGTTACATAATAGAAAACCGTCACTCCAATAATTTGGGTGGAGACAGCAACCGCATAAAAGCCATGCTTTGTTTGATTTTACTCGTCCAGCGCAGGGTTATAATAGTGTGGGATTTTTCATGATTTTCTTTTCGTTTTGACTTTTATGTTTTGAAGCAGTCAGAAGTTCCAAAATGGCATGACTGAAAAGTCGATGTAGTGCAGTCATTCTTGTTTCTAGCATTTTAAAAATGCTTTTTAGCTATACTTCCCTCAAAAACAGAAGGAATTGCAAACACAGACAAGGTAGACTAACAAGACGGTTTCGACACAAACAAACAAACAAACTTACAGTAAGCGCAGGACTGGCCGAGATGTCAGCGGCGTCGAGTGCGAACGCGGCCCCTCGGGCTCCGATGAAGAGCCGCTGGCTGTCAGCCTCCAGCAACATGGTGCTGTAGTTGACAGCCGATGAGGAGCTGAAGCGCCTGCAGCCCCACAGACCTACGGGCATGAGCGGCATTTGTTATTAAAAAAAAAAAACATTTGCGACATAATCTCCTACTCCATGGTGCAGAGATACTGGACCACTTGTGGGAGACGCAGCGAGGCAATGATATTTTCAACACAATACGGTTTTATCTTGACTTGCAAGTTTCATCACATGTGGACAATCAATATTTGAAATAAACAAATAAATGGAAATATTTGAAGACAAAAAAAAAAAGACGCCTGCAAATGCAGAGAAACGTTGGCTTATTAACAATGGCAGCAAAGAACATTCTTGGAGAGAAGAATATATTTGCTGACATGTCTTATTTAGCAGATTATGCGATTACAACCGTACACCAATTTTGCATATAATCCATATCTGCCGATCCGATCCAACCGATAAGATCTGTGTAAAGTCTAAAACAAAAACAGCAGTGATTTCCTAACTTGAAAAAAAAAAAACAAAACACTGCATTGTATAAAAACATAAAACATAATAAAAGAGGATGCAAAGAAATTATTTTTATAATATGAAATTACTGGATATCCTGCACTGTATTAGCAATGTGTGCCTTTAAGGGGCGTGGCCTAGTGAGTGAAGCCAGGAGCTGGAGTTTGATTGGCTGTTTAGTCTGCGTGTGAGCATCTGAGTGTTCTCATTTTGTATTTGCGTGTTTGGCTTTTTGTCTCATTAAATAAACGCTTTAAAGTTCATCAGTGATGGGGATTACAATAAATATAACGTACAAGCTGATCTAAAACAGAGGCTTCAAAAAAAATTATATAGTGTATGAGCTGCATATTGGATACAATGTTTACGAATCAAAACTATTGTGCAGTCGATTAAATAAATGCCCCTGAAGACCTTCGATGATGAAATACATTATTTTAAAATCAGCAGATGCTCATTCATACATGCGATTGATTGCGTGTGTGTGTGTGTGTGTGTGTGTGTGTGTGTGTGTGAACATGCATTCATCCTCTGCGACACATCTCGCAGTGCGCATCGCCGAGTGCACGACTGTGGAAGAGTCGTGCAACGTAGTGAGAAAGGCTTTTGATACTTTCCATTATATTGCTCTCTATTCAATTTGCGCTGCAGCCGCAATGAAAAAGTCAGCTCGGCGAAGAAATGAGGGAGTATATTCATACGGTATATAGCGCTCTACAGAAAAAAAAAAAAAAAGTAGGGAGAGGCTTTTCAGTTGATGGTTTCTGCAGCCTATACGTGACATCAAACTAAACATTAAAACGACGGACTTTTTCCGTGGTCCAGAATTCCGCATGTGCTTGTCGCATAGTAAAAGCTGGGGGGGCTTGCGTAAGCAAAACGGACCCTCTATCAGGGTGCCACTTGACTTGAGTAAAGATGACACCGCAAACCACCTCTGGGCGTTTTGTAACAGCCACATTCAACGGACATCGTTGAGCGAGAATATTGTACGAGCAGCGTCAGACAAAAAAAAAATACAAAACTAATTAATCGGGAATCGCTATGGCGCAGGGGTTAACACTCCAGACCCATCCACAATTGGCAAATACCGACATTATCGAAATATCATAGAAAGTACATTTCTAAAAATACTTTAAAAAATAGATTGAGGCAAGATTCCAACCCAGAACCTCTTGACTGTGAGTCAGACGTGATAACAATGATTCCACTGAATGTCAACAACCGAGTTAGATTTCTCATTATAGTTTTGTTGAATATTTCTTCACAGGAATGAGATGTATGATCGAATTAATGTTGATTTATGCTTCAGGATGTCAACCTGAACGCAATATGCACTTTCAAGGGTTTTATGGCCACAGAGTACAATAAATCATTTCCTGCGCCAGTTGAGATTCCCATCAGCTTGTGGCAGTTGTGTCTCCGGATTACCTCTCGCGAAGCACTTTGGTAAATGTGTTGTTTTAGCAGTGGGTGAATTGTTTCAACAGTGTCTCTAAGCAAGCTCCCAAATCATCTCTCCACATTGAAAACAATGGAAATGCCATTAATCTGTTCCAGCCTCCCCAAACAAAACTAAAAAAATTAATGTATTAACACACACACACACAAAAAAAAGAACAAATAATACCGCGCAGAAAAAAAATACAATATTGACATATTTACATATAATGTAAAGAATTCAACAGTTTTTGCCACATTTTGGTTCAATTCAATGGAGGCTGCAAATAGTGATATTGATGGAGACGGTCACTACTCAGAAAGCTGCGGTGAATCCACTCGGCCTATCCGGTGGGTTATAACACCACGATAGCTCCGCTATGGCATTTTGCATTGCTTGTTAGCATTAAGCTAAATGGACTGCTGTTATTTAAAAACACAGTGACTCATTCTCTTTGCTAACTGTTTCGATTGACAATAAACTCATCAATTTGTCATGACTTGACCTGCCCGGCTGAACTTTTACCACAGTAACTTGGGACTTATTTTTATGACTTGCACATTTGTAACTTCCTCCGAGCTCTGCCGACACGTCGTGTTTCATTCCGGCTGGCTGATTGTGTGTCAACTCCCTCTCAGCGGGAGGAAGAGGAGTATCAGCGGATGGCTGCGTGGGATTTCTTGGACAATAACTTTGCCTACGTGAGTGCGCACATTGTGCGCGGCTCACCGTGGGCGAACACAAAGCAGAGACGATACCTGGAAGATTCCGCTGCGTAATTGCCACATCGTGGCATATATTTCTCTGTCGGCTCAGTCTGAACATTGCGACTGATTTCTATGACTTCCGGTGAGGAGAAGTTTAAATAACTTTTTGGGGCGAGTTATATCTTTTTCAGAATTAAATTAAAACATTTTATCTCTTTATTACTAGGGATGGACAGATTAATTGGTCGGTTGATATGAAGTCAATTTTATTTTATGTAATATGACATTAAACAAAGTTAATGATAAAAAAAAAAGACAATTCATCCAATTTTTGCTGATTTTCCCACTGTTGTAAATGACTAAAAATCATCGGTGTGAATTATGAATTATGAGTGTGAATGGTTGATCGTCTACGTGTGCCCTGTGATTGGCTGGCGACCATTTCAGGAGATATGCACTGCTTTTTTTTTTTTTTTCCAAGATTCCAGTTATTCAAAATACCGTGCTGAAAAAAATACAATATTGACATAATTACATATAATGTAAAGAATTCAACAGTTTTTGCCACATTTTGGTTCAATTCAATGGAGGCTGCAAATAGTGATATTGATGGAGACGGTCACTACTCAGAAAGCTGCGGTGAATCCACTCGGCCTATCCGGTGGTTTTGGCGTTAAGAAAAAAAAATTATCGGGCCAAGCCAAAATTCCGATGTTTTCATACTTATGGGAAACAAAATCACAGAATAAATAAATAAATAAAACGGGATTCGAGTTAGCGAAGACCCGGGAAGAGTGACACGCAGGGGAGTTCGGTCAAGGTTACATTAACAATCTACGATGAGGTAATAACAAGCCGAGGCACGTATCCGCCGGTTGATATGAAGTCAATTTTATTTTATGTAGTATGACATTAAACAAAGTTAATGATATTGAACCCCCCCCCCCCAAAAAAAGACAATTCATCCAATTTTTGCTGATATTCCCACTGTTGTAAATGACTAAAAATCAGCGGTGTGAATTATGAATTATGAGTGTGAATGGTTGATCGTCTACGTGTGCCCTGTGATTGGCTGGCGACCATTTCCGGGGATATGCACTGCTTTTTTTTTTTTTTTCCAAGATTCAAGTTATTCAATGAATTGAACAAATAATTATTTTTTCAAAATCCTTAGCTGCCGCCTGCACCTTCTAAGCTAGCAGGTGTTATGTGGCTTCATTTTGGCGTGAAGAAAAAAAATCATAGGGCCAAGCCAAAATTCCAATGTTTTCATACTTATGGGAAACAAAATCACAGAATAAATAAATAAATAAAACAGGATTCGAGTTAGCGAAGACCCTGGAAGAGTGACACGCAGGGGAGTTCGGTCAAGGTTACATTAACAATCTACGATGAGGTAATAACAAGCCGAGGCACGTATCCGCTGTATTCTAGACTGGAGGTGAAAGGGCACATTTCGATACGCTGTTTGGGGAGAAAAATAAACGCCAGCAGGACAAGCATACATCATCCCAAGACACTGGAGTGGAAGGTTATAGCTGTGCATCAAAATATTTGGTTGAACAACTCACGATGTTAAACATAAAACAAAGACAATGAAATGTGTATTTAACCAAACACATAACTATGCCGTACTAATGTTTGTTAGCTTGATGCTAACCAACAATGCAAAACACCATATATAGGGCTAATGAAACTAGCATCTGTCTTTAAAAAGTAAATGATATTTGTATACTAGCTGTAAAAAAATGTCTAATATTTTACATTTTATTTAATTATGGAATTACTGTATGTTTTTATACAGTACAATACTGTAGCGTGCTACTTTCCTTATTAAGAAAAGCATTTTTTTAAATTTCTGGTGTTTCATTGGAGGGTGGAACAGATTAATGGCATTTACATTTACTTAAATGGTGAAAGATGATTTCAGATGCAAGTGTTTTGAATTTAACTCAAAAAGTCAAGGTATTAATATCAGATGAACACGGCAGGCAGCAAATAGATAAAATTATGCATTGGCACAGGTGTAGCTGACGTCAAGCACAGAACAGTCGTCAGGGTAACGGCACCTCCCTCAAAGAAGCCGAGGTGGCGCCAATCTCTGCAGGGGATCTGCGAGAGGACTTTGAGAAACAAAGCGCCACAGGCGAAATGACAGACGACGCATGTATGCAAGGAAAAGACATACGTTAATACTCGCAGGAAGTTGCCGCGATGGGGGAAAGAGAGAGAGGAGCTACATGGGAAAAGTGACGCAAACGTGGCAAAAATTTCACGGAAATAAAGAAACCTGATGAAGAAGTAAAACGACCACATAAAAAGGAGTGAATCTTACATTATGAGACATACAATGAGATATACAGTATATATGAGCCTTCCCCCCCCCCCAAAAAAAACCCATTTCGCTCCATAATATTGTACTTCAAGTTACAACAATGACATCATTATTTTTTTGACATTGTAGGAATTGAATTGCCATTCCGGTGTGTTTATCTCGGACACCAGGGGGCAGTATAAGACAGAGCTCTAATCCTCTGATCTCATCAGTACAGCACTAATATGAGTTGTTCTTCACAGAACATAAAGAATAGGACTTTGAGTGCGGTTGTACTGCTGACCGACGTGTTACTGCACCATTTGTGTTCAATCTGTTGTATAAACTGTTAGAGCACCACAAAATTGGTGCAATTTAGCGTGGGCATAAAGCTTAAGGTGTACTTTTATTGACCACAAAGTAATTCTCTTTGTTTCATTTTCAGTTTGACAGTCGACTTCCACCGGGCGTGGCAATAAACTCTACGAGTGTACCTAATGTCGTGGTTAATGAGCACCTTTGGTGAGAGAGTGACACAAAACACGCTTACTGTTGCTCAAGACGGTGACGCGCGGCGTCACATCGAGATCCAGCGGCGGTCCGAACGGGTAGGTGGCCGCCACACACACACAGCAGCTAACCAGCAGCAAGAGCCGCAGTGATGAGGAGCGGCCCGCCTTCATCTCCATACACACACACGCATACACACTCGGTAAGCAGGATGCATGCAGCAGAAGCAGCAAAAAAAAAAAAAAAAAGCTCACACAAACATATTCACACACTGGCTGCCTGGTTCACTGCAAGGACCTGAAAGAAGAGAAAACGCATCCACCAACAGTCAGCAGGGACAATAAAGTACCACTCAAACGCACAGTTGAGGTCCGTCGATTTGGTACCAGGTGCCTTCATTTGGTGACTTTGCCAAATTAATTCACCTCTTAATACCAGGACTAGCATATCACTATTTTTGAAACCATCAGTAATAGCTAATCATTATATCAACATATTCATAAGTAAGGTCCATAAATTTGGACATGGACACAATTCTCAATGTTTGAAACATCACATATTAAAAAAAAAAAAAAAAAAAAAAAACAACAACAACAAAACATATGTCCTCACCATTCGTTTTCCCCACAAAGCCCAAGATGTCCGTCAGTGGTTGGGAAACCGTGACAAGCAAGCAGGCGTGCATGTGTAAATATTGAGCATGCTCCTTTGACTTCTCAAATATGCACCGAACAGCACGGCAGAGTGGCGTGCAACCAAGTCTAAAATATCCCGCATTTCAAAGTGTTTGTTTTCATGGCCCATCAATTTCCCCTTAGGGATCAGCATTAAGAGTTTCGTTCGACAAACTGTGCGGTTCGGTTGAACATTTTGGTGCTGAACTATACAATGTTGCATATTATTTTGTTTTATGCTGCGAACAAAATGACCGTAAAATAAAGGATAAAGGACTTGTCTACCAAATGTCATGTTTAGTTATAAGTAACTTTGTGAGCTGAACTCGAAACTAACTAAATAAATTAATCAATAGCACATTTCAAAAAGGGTGGTGCTCTCCATCTAATTTTGGAAATTGCCCCAAAACTGGCTTCTTTGAACCAAAATTGGATATTTCCTGTTTATTTATTCAGACTTTTCATGATCGCAAAAAACTTCCCAACTCTCTGTACTCTCTTTGTTCTCGTGAGCAACTTCCACCCTGACAGCTGTCAACTGCAATGAAAAGGTGGCAGTTACCTTTATAGGCCTGTCTACGCTTCGGGTTGCGGGGGAGGCATGCTGAGGAACCCTTTAGGAGTCATTTATCTGGCTCGTGCGCACTCAAATGGCTGTCATGATCTCTCCATGCTTTCAGACAGCCAGTCCATCAGTCTGCCAAAGTGGTGCTGATGTGGTCTTTAGAAGGAAGATGCGAGGCTTTGACACAAGTACCAAAAGAAAGCTTCACATCACAAATGTGTCAGAAGTTACGAGCCACGGGGGGTCAGGGGGGAGACTGTCTGACACTCCAACAGCCTCTGGGATGAAACCCTGACTAGGCCACGATCCTTAAAGGCATACATCCAACTAGAGCTCAGACTCAACCCAAAATCCTCATTTGCTATCAGTTTACCGTTGAAGCAACAAATCCTGAATCAACTCGAATGGGTTAATAATTGTACTTTGTGTCAACCTAGGGAAAGGTTTTCCTTTTTAGTTTAAAATAACTTACTTAAACCTTGAGGATCCCTCGCCATAGACTGGCCAATGGCAGAACACAGGGTGTTTACCCGCTTTTGTTAACGTTTCAAATCCATCTCTCGTACCAGCTAACTAGCGGTAAGCTAACCGTCTCGCCTGTCCAGCATTCGGGTTAGCAAACTCCCTTTGTGCTAGCACGGCATCAGAGGCCAAGAGCGAAGTGACGACAAAGGCATTGATACACTGCCTAGATGGGCTTAAAGGACAGAGTGCGTAAAAGTTTCATGTTTTGCTCAATAGCCGGCTGAACATCTCATACATGTGCAAACACTTCCGGGTAAAAATGTATTTGAGCAACTGTAAATAGAAAAAAATCTTTAAGCATGTACCCAGGTTTACATTTTTTGTCTCAACTACTCCAAACTTAAGCCTTTTTTGTGTGCGAAACACATACTCCATTTTACTGTTTTGCGCCTGATGAAACAAAAGGAACAAAACATTTTATTTGACCAAAGTGAGCTACTGCGAGAACACCCTTACTGTCTACAAAGCAGCTGAAAAATGACAAGGCGACTGCATTAACGGCCATAAAAAAAAAAAAAAGACTTGACACTCTTTGCTTTTAGGCGTGTAGACAAGGCATGTGTGTCTTTGGGAGACAAATGGTAGAAAAGACGACAGTCAAAAAGGCATTGCACACTTTTAATAAGCCTCCTTGTTTGACTGTGCAGTTTTCTGTTTGTACCGAGTCTATTGCAGACTTTGTAACACTTGGCTTGGGTCGCTGTGACAAAAGACAGCAGCAGTTGGGGATGAATCACGTCGCTTTTGCTTGAGCTTTGTCATCAGTCTTACACCCAAAATGGCCAAATTGTGCGCCTTTGTTTGGAGTTAGGGAACAAAGATGCTGCCAATGTGCAATCGAAGAATGGAAACATTGTACCGCCGACACACAGCACAAACATGCTCATGTTGATCCACGGAGTTCATTAAACTGCGTCGCCAGTCATGACATTTCCACACTCACTCCATTCTCAATGGTGGTGGGATTCTCGGATGGCTTAAACACTATCAGAAGCACTGACCTACAATTACAACCTAGATTAAAAAAAGAGTTTCATTTCACTGTCATAATTCATCACAGCAGTCTTTTTTTTTTCTTCATCTCAGAGTCATTTTCTTGCCTGCTCTACTTCCAGGATGTATATTTTGACTTTTTGTCTGATCAAATTTATGCCTCTATATGTTGTCATTAACTCTTTTTTTGAAGAACTGTTCACTTCTCGACAAACTGCTGCTAACTGTGAAGTGAGTTGATTTGAGTTCTGAAGAATGAGCCCGAATGTCAAAGCCTTGATAGGTTTGACATTCGCTCGTATCTCAAAAAACTTCAAAGTCAGGTCACATGTTTCTCAAGGCACTGTGTGTGTTAGCATTAAAGTAGCGGACTTTGAGCGGACGGCAATTGTGATTTAGGTACAGACTTCCAGCCAAAATTAAACAAACAACTCAGTTTAACGAGACATCTGTGGTAAACACTTCAGTGGGCGACATAGCTGTTGTAGCGAGTGGAATTCAGGCCCCCGGTCCTTGTGTTTGACACCTGTGCTTTTAAAAAAATGTTTTCCCCTTCCAAAACGACGGCTTCAATTGATTTGATCACTTTCTTGTTGATTGCTTTAAGTGCAACCCAAAGATATGGCGGGGGGGGGGGGGGGGGGTTTTTTAAGCACGATTTGAAGAGAACTGACGTTTAGTGAAGGTATTAGAAAGTCGACTGTGTGGTGTTTTTGTCTTACCTTAATTGCGTAGAAATCGTCAGGGGTAAAAAAAAAAAAAAAAGCAGGAAATGTATTGTCTTCCTCGAGCCGTTCATTCCAAGTGGACTTTAGTCCCTTTTGACAGTGCTGCATAATCAACAGCCACCAAATGGGAACACTCTGCGAACCAAACCCGCCCACGACTCTCACACTTGTACCTTCCAAAAATCTTAGTTCTTCTTTGCAGCCACCCTTCCTTGTCTAAAAGAGTCTTTTTAAGGCCGGCGACGAGACGTCGTTTACGATGCGACTGAGTAGGAGTGAGTGTGTTGCGGGTGGACGAGAGATATATATTTTTTAAAGGTGTACCCGAGCAACCTGTCGGTTTCAACCTTAGCGGGAGGGGCAGCAGTGTCACCAGGAGGACACTTGCAGAACTACAGGCTATACACTCCCAAAATAAATGATTGTTACTCAGTTTTTCACGTAGGCTACCATTTCAAAAAAAAAAAATCTCCACTTAGTACCACCATGATGACTAACCTTGAGATGGCAATCAATAAAAAGCAAAACCAAAAACAAAGAGAAAAAAATGCAAAATCATTATACCTCAATGTTAACTACAACTGAAATGAACAAATGTGATGTATTTAAAAAACCGTAACATTTCGCAGCTTGAACTTTTAATTCAGTGGTTCTGCATACCGCTAGAGAGCTTGGTAACCACACATTGAGAACCACTATAGAGCTCTTTAGAATACAACCGTACCTCAAAGTGCCGTTCATAAAAAAATAAAAAAAATGATCATAAAACACGAGAGACTGAAACGGTGAACAATAACCAAGTCAAAAACAATAAAAACGAGTAACTATAATGTTTTCAATTGCAAATGAGTGAAAGTACAAAGTCGTCAAATAATAAAAGTGAATCACAGTAACAAAATATTTGTCCTTTATTACATGCTATCAATGTGAATATTAATGGGAATGTTTTTATTTGGATTCATTAATATATTCGTTTACACCGCTAAATGGTACAACAGTGGCATCTGCTGGAGGGACTTTGACATGTACTGGGTAGCGATATGAAAATACATTATTTTGAATTGCAAGAAAGTCCATAAAACTAGGATTTTAAAAAACAAAACAAAAACTACTCGGGACACATTCCCAACTGATACATTATTGATGTCGGTAATTACTGTGGCTTTGCAAAGCGCGAGATCAGCTATTAAGGGAACCAACTGTAGCCAAAAGTTTGCCTATGGGCTTGATGAGTCAGGATTGCACAATTAACGTCCTTCCAAAAAAGCAACAAAAAAAAAAGACGGCTCAGTCAAGCTCATTGGGAATCTATTGTAGCGCATTCCACCTTTGGCCCTTTTCAAGCCTACAGACAAAAGAAATCCTGCTTTGCTGATGAGGCAGATCCGTCTTGATACGTAATGAGCAAGTTTTGAAGGCAGACATCCGATTGAAATAACCTGAATACAGGGACAAAAAGGAAACATTTTTTCCACATTAATCTGCTGGCCAACTATACATTGGATTTAATTTACATGAATCTTTAGCCTGCGGGTCATTGACATTGGCTATAAAATGCCAACGTCGATTTTCATGTTTTGAATGAGGAGACGATCGCTCTGTAATGCTGCACTTTCTGAAAACGTGAATTATTATAACAATTGAAAAGAATGTGTAGAATTCATGAGTTTGGGTGTCATGATTTAATGCGTCCTAACTGTCCTCAAGAGGTGTGAAAGTGAGTTATGGGAAAAAAAATACAGAAGGAATGGCAGGGTACAAAGTATTTTATTATAAATGTTGAAAATACTACAGTACATTTGAGATTATATTGAGACAGCATAAGGAAACAATGGTGACAAAAATAAATACATCTTGCACTGTGAGATATGCATGTAGTAAGTATGCCAGTTCGATTCTGTTAGATTTGACTGAGAAAACAGTCCGTGAATTAGGAAAACATGTGAAGTCATCTTAACTCGCATTCTGTTAAGATTTGACTGAGAAAACAGTCCGTGAATTGTGAATTAGGAAAACATGTGAAGTCATCTTAACTCGGTTTTGTGGTAGTCACTGTACATTACTTTAAGAGCGGGGGGAATGTTCGAGAATTGGGAGTCGTCTTTTTTCCCCCCCAGCTGCGGCATCAAATCACTACTTTGCGACTAAGAAGCACAATGATACAAGTAGTGGTGGCATCTCAGCCAAAGCACAAGGGCTATGGAAAGCTTTTTGAGCATTTATTAAATATTAAGGATATCCACTACACTTTGTCCTCACTAGTTTAGACAATTCAGCACAATTGGTAGTGTGACTTATCCTACTTGTACATGGAGTTTAGGCTGGATACCAAGGATATTGAATAAATGCTTAAATTCAATGTCCAGGTACTAATATGCTCTCTACCCTCACTACTAAGCCAATTCAGTGCACTCGCAGGTTGACTTTTGGTTTATTAGTGCCTTCCAAGTGATTATTCAACTGTTTTATGAAAAGTTGTTTCAGCATTGATGCGGTATCCCCAATAGTGAACATGAGCTCAAATCGTTTCCCATGCTAGCAACGAGCATGTCAAGTAGTGCACAGCTTTTCCCTTACTAGTTGTCCTACTAGTTATGCCAAGCAGTCCTACTAGTGTGTAGTCATCTTACGACTGTGCAGAAATGTTACACAGCAGTGGAAGGAAGGCGTGAGCCGTTCTGCTAGCGTGTTGAATTGTGTGACTCTTGAGGATAAAGAGCATACTAGTGCAAGGATCTTAAGCTGGATATCAAACAAATGCTCAAAGGCTTTGCAGCGTCATCGGCCACGTGATGAACAGCAATGAATAAAATTGTACAGATCCCACCCACCCCCCTGCAAAGGAGACTTTACATCTCCAATCGCGGATATCCAAAGAGAGGCACGGTACACTAGAAACGAGCCTCTGCTTTAAGATTGTCATGGTAACTGAGCATTTGACGCTGTTCAACTGTACTGAACATAACAGCAGTGTAGTTTAAAAATAAAAAATAAAAGGTCAAATCCTGCGTGTTGCGTTTACATCCACAGTTTTCGTCATTTTTGGGACTTCAGAAAATAGTGCCGGCAATATGTATATTTTTAAAAATGTGGAACTGGGCCAGAAATGCCGTTAGTGTGGAGAAAAGTGCCACAGTTGGGCTAAAAGGTGTTCATTATTTGATCCTTCATTTTTGCGCATGGGTGGGGGAGTCAAAAAAAAAAATCCTCAGAGGGCCTTACTGAAATTATGAACAAATGCGACATGTTGAACTTTTTTTTCTCCAACGGGTCCTGGCAGGGTTATTTTCTATAACTGGCCCATATGGTGCTGCAGGCTCCCCCCACCTCTGCTTTAGTGTTCCTTCAATGCAGCAGTTTCCTTCTTTTCCCGGATTTTGTGTGTGTGTGTGTGTGTGTGTGTGTGTGTGTGTGTACGCCACTCACAAAAACTTAAGTGACATTGGGCTATGTGAAATTTCCGGTTGAACTTAAACTTCCTCTAAACTTTAAAATGTCCAGTTTAAAATGTTCAGTGTTTCAGTGGAGCTGATGACAAAATTCTCCACAGGTGTCTGACCCATAAACGACAACGACATCCACTTCTATGTCTTTTTGTGAGTCCTTCAGCCTGAGATCTTGAAATTCTAACCGAAAGACCGATATACGAACCGAGTAGTGTATGTGTGTGTTAGTGCGCTGATGTTGAAATGTGCAGGAATCCTTAGGCGAGGCTTCTCTGTCGTGGCTTTATTCGAGGATACAGCTGCAAGAGGCAAAAGAAGATGACACCCAGGTATTAATAACAATGCAAGAAACGATCAGCAAGACCTCCCAACCCGCATTGTGTCCCCCCATTGTGCCTGCTTTCACCTAAAATAGCTGACATTCTATGTGCTTCAAAGCATTTTTAATACCTTTTTGGGAGTTCAGCTTACCAAATCTTGCAAAACATTCCAAAGAGACTTCAAAATAAAATGGCCAAATTCCTGTGCCAATTTGGGCATGGTTTCTTAAGACTTTTTTTGGTGGGTCTACTCAAACCTTCTAAATTTCATGTTACTCAGCAAAACTGGATTCAGGTGCTAAATTTCAAAAACAATTCCAAAGAGTGCTGACGAAATTGTTTTGGGAAACAAATAAACACTCATACATGGCTGCTTTGAAACAAAAGCAACCAATTTCCTGTGCCTTTTCTGGGCACGGCTTCTTGAGACTATTTAGACAAACACGCCTCCCGAATTTCATGATGCTCAGCAAAACCGGCTTCAGGGGCTCAATATTTGTCTTACCCCAAGTAGGTTGCGGGGAATGTAGCCCTCGTTGTCTCCCAGGCGTGCCCACCACCACTCGATTTCATCCTCGTCCTCCCTGCGGACGATAGTCATGCAGTCCCCCTCGCGGAAGGACAGCTCGTCGGGATTCTCCCCCGTGAAGTCCCAAAGGGCATAAACCACGCCCCTGTTCATGATGCCCATCTTCTCCTGAACGCCTGCAGGGAGAGGTACACGCAAAAATGAGCCCCTGGACAAACCAACCTATGCTGTGTAACTTTAAGTCATCACGTTTTTGTTTTTTTTTGGTTTTATTGTTTTTTTTTTTTTTTTGGTGGCTCCATGTGTGTCCAAGGTAGCAGTTTGTTTTGAGGGTTTATAATTACCACACTGCTCATTTCCATTAGCCCGTCTATGCCGTTATGTCATTATATGTTAGCATCAAGCTATCAGACTGTTTTATTTTTTTGTTCAACATTTTGGGTGTTTAGATATGCAATCGTTATTTCTCTGTCGTTGTGTCCTCTGCCTGTGGATGTTGCTGCACATAAATTATGATTATAATAAATGACGTGGTCATCTCTGTATTGCGGGCAGGTCAACCAAAAAAAGTAATTTCCAACTGACCGTAGAGGAACTGGGAGCACTGGGTGTACCCTTCCTCCATCTCCTCGCACTTGTCGGCTGCCGTCTGCATGTCGCTGTATGTGGTGTTGAAGACGGCGGCGGCTGACTCCACCAGGAACTTGCACACCTGAACGTTGTTGCAGGAGGCCGCGCAGTGGAGAGGCGTCCTGCGCTCCGAGAAGAAGAAAGACTGGGTCAGAAATTGTGGGAAAAGCATGTATGAAATCAAGTTTTTTGTTTTTTGTTGTTTTTTTTTAAATCGATTAATGGTATTTCAATTAATTGAAATGAGCAAAATTTCATGAAGTCAAGGTACCATTGAAGAATTTGCTATTTCCCAGATAAAAGGAAACTTAAGGATGATGTATACCTATCGGTTTTGAAAAATGAAATTTTTTACATTTTTTGTATTTACATTATTTATTATTTTGTGGAGGTGGAATTTCATGTTATTGTTGAGAAAACGACAGTATCAAAGCTCATTTGGCATCAGGAGGAATAAAGCAAATCCCAGAATAGAAAGAAAAAACCCAGAATAATCATTTTCTAATCTGCTACTTGCTTTCGATAAAATACAGGAGAAAATTTATTCAAATTGGAAATCCGACTTGGTCTTCATGAGCTATAATAACTCACCATCCGTCGCTGTCCGCGGCGTTGACGTTGACGCCGTACTGGACGAGAAACTTGACAATCTCTGTGTGTCCGGCGCACACGGCGTTGTGTAGCGCGGTGATGCCTTCGTCGTTAGGCTGGCTGGGGTCCTCCACCTGAGCGCGGTGCCAAAGGGGGGAAGGAAAACATTCAAGCAAAGTGTGAACCCCAAACAGATGGTGTCCATTTTGGGTTTGAGCGTTTACCTCATAGATAATTCTCTGCACCAAATCGAACTCGCCCTCCAGAGATGAGTCGAGCAGCAGGGCCAACGGGTTGAACTTGACTCTCATGTTGTGGTCAATCCGTTCCGAGCCGAGCTTGCGCAGGTTGGTCCTTTTGCCCTGTTAAGAAGCGAACGCAGCAATGGTTCTACTGCGGGGCCACCGCTCTACGCCGCGTTCGCGCTTAACTGAGAGGAGGAGGGCGGTACGTGATTTTGCACAATTGAAGCCGAGCTGAAAGAAACAACTTTGCCTCTTTTAATTGAGCGTTATGCAACCTGATTAGCCGGACAAAGAAAAGCGAGGGCAAGGGTCGAGACGTAGGCCGCAACACTGATTTGTAATTGGTCGCCTTTTGGTGAGGTAAAACCAACACAAATCCTCCTCCTGGCGGTGGGATCGCAAGGACGTGTAAACTGCGGGGTTTATTTTTAACACACAGGGTGTTTTAGCAAATAAGGCGGAGTGTGGAAATCTGGGAGAAAAGTAGGCAGAACCTCGACTTTGTCCAAGTAGAATAAGGAGTGTTTTTTCCAAGAAACAATAGCACTGTTTGATGGGGATTATCTAATTATATAACGTTGACCCAGCTCGTGACAGATGACTCAACAACATTTTGAGAAACCAACAAAACTGGACTGATTTAAAAAACAAGTTATTTATATCCTGAATTTAGTTTTCGGTTATGTAAACCTGGATTAGGTTTTCCCGTTAGGATCTCAAATTGGGAGTTTGGGTCAGGGTTTCAAATTCGGATTTTGAGCAAGGGCCAGGGTTTCATGCAACGGTTTGGGTTTCCACTCGGGGTCTCGAGCCGGGTTTAGGGTTTCAAGCGAAGGGTAGGGTTTTAAACGGAGACTGCAACCTGTGTTCAGGTTTCAAGTAAAGATTTCGAGTTTCAACCGCGGGTCAAGATTTCAAATAAAAGTTCATGTGTGAGTCAAGAGTTCAAGCAAACAACAGTGTTTCAAATTAGGGCTACAAGCCACGGTCGAGGTTTAGAATTGGGCTCAAAGCACGAGTCAGTGTTTGAGGCCTGGCTTATTGTCTCAAAGTAGGGTTTTCAAACCAGGATCTCAACACAAGAGTCGGTCGGGGTTTCAAATTAGCAATTTACACCAAGTCAGTGAGGGCTTTCAAATTATCAGCCAGAGTTTCAAGCAATGGTTTGGGTTTTAAAGTAAAGTTCCAAGGCAGGGTTACGGTTTAAAATTGGGGGTTGAAGCCAAAAATCAAATAAGAGATTCAAATCAAAGATTTAGGGTGTGCATTTCAGAGACGCGTGTTGGCTCTTACCGGGGGCAGAGCAACCTGCCCAGTGACTTCGGGCGCTTTCATGTTAAAGGTGTCCTCTCCCAGGCTGTCCTGCTCTGCTCCACTGGGGTACGGTGGCGGTGGGTAAGGGGGAAACTCTTCCAGGAAGCCCTCCGGAGGCGGAGGGGGGAGGTTGGGCAGCGGGTCGTCCAGACTGGCAGGGGGTGGCGGTGGTGGGAAGAGCGCATCTTCGGGGCGAGGGGCCGGGTGTGACGGAGGAGGAGGCGGGACGATGTGTTCTGCGGCCAGGATGGCGGAGGGCGGCCTGCTTTGTTCAGCGGGAGCTGGAATGTGAACGTTCCCGCCTGGGAACTGCGGCCCCTCCACGGATCGTCCCGCATCCGACGGGTGGTTCTCTGTGTTGTTCGAGGGGCCCGGAAGGTATGGCTTCATAGGTACCTCCGCGCCCTTCTCTGCTTCACCAGGAAGGGTGGGAGTGCCCGGCGTGATCACGGTGGTCTCCATGGCTGCCAGGGTGGTTTTCTGATAGAGCAGCTTCTGGATATTGGGCCCAGCGGGTCCCTCCGGCTCGGTGATGGAGCTGCGCTTCTTCAGGGGCCTGGGAGCGTTGTAGAGCTTCTTCCTGAGGGCCTCCAGGTCGCCGTCGCTCTGGTGCCGGTAGGGGTTGGAAATGAACGGGAGCAGCTTGGTGGGGCTGAGGGGTCGCGGGATGCGCTCCGTCTCCGGTTGGCCGCCCTCGGATGGGCTAGGGCCCGTGTGGTTCGCTCCGTGGTCCACCTCGGATTCAAGCGCCGGGGAGCGACGGTCCAGGTAGGGGTTCTCTGGGTGTTGGGAGCCTCCACTGGGAATCACCGGCTTTCCATACACTGCAAATAAAACATCTGGTGTTAGCCCTTACGGATCACGTGTGTAGTGCACAGGCCTCTCCCAAAAGTAGCACACTAGTGAGGAGACATTGTGATTGTGATTTTTTTTAGGAAGTGATCATTTGAAAAAGTACACACTGGCATAAATCCCATGGATATTTCTCTTTTTCTCTGACTTGTCTGTAGAACATGAAAGCTTGTTATTAGACTAGCGGTCAGTCCAGGGTATCGTGCCCATGTCTTGTGTGTAGCTCCACTGACAAGAACAATGACATATTTAACTACCATCAACTGCATTGTGGGATGCAAAATACAACCCAGTTTGCTGCCCTAAAGGTCATAACAGTGTTTTTGATTTTTTTTTTTTGGTCCGCGGTATGTCACATGTTTTTGGTGACAGGCTTACCACTGACAAAGCCGTTGGTGCGGCTCTGAGACCTGCTGAGGGCCCCCTGGATGCCAGCCTGCTGGGTGTACATGGAGTAGATGGAGCTGGCGGCGAGGGTCTGCGGCTTGGAGGAAGGCAGCTCCGGGGTGAAAGGCCGCACGGTAGCTGCAGGCGGAGGGTCCTGCTTTGGAGGCAGGGGGAGCGTCTGGCTCTGGGAGGGCGGGAGAGGCACGTGGGCGTGGCCAGGATGGGGCTGGCTGCTGTGTGGCTTAGCTTTCGGGAAGGTGCCTGTGTTGAGGCCCTGTTTGCCGTACGGGATGACATTTGGGCCTTTTGGCTTGGTAGGCACGGGCGGTGGGACTTTAACTGGCGCCTTGGGAGCAGACTAAGATGACAAGAAGGTGAAATCCGTTAGGTCAGAGTGTGACAATGTATTTTTGCAAAGGGTGGAAATTATATTTGCTTTGCTTCTTACTTGGGCATCCCTGACCAAGTCATCACTGCTCTGGTTTTTGCGAAGCGAGGTGGCAGGAACCTCGGTTGGCTCAAACATGGAAAACGGACGCACCTTCCTGTCCCTTTTGGGCTCGGTGTCATCTAATCACAAGACCAGAAAAAAACAACAATGATGTCTCTATGCAATTTAAAGCTGAAAGGGGGTCACTGTTTTGTAGGAATGGGTGGTAAGACCTTAGAATAAAATTCAATTTCTTTGTTCCCTGCTTGGCTTACAGAAAAACAAACTATTCACGTCCGTCCGTACTTTATACAAGTGGAGATTGTTACCTTGGTCTTTGTGGGAGTGAGATGTCATTCGTGGAAGCGTTGAAGAAGCTGGAACATGACCGTTGGACTCCAGTTTCGATGACTGGTTCCCTGAAGGACACATAAGAGAGCAGAAGATGAATAAAATAATTTAGAAAGGCAGTTTGTAGAATAGGAGGCACACTAAATTTTGAGCACGCTTCCACGCCCCATTGTTTCTTAGCACTGGATGCTTGCAATTTTTCCTGAGTCGGGGGGTTTTTCCTCCAGTGTTGCTGTTCATTTCTATTGGGCAAGGTGGGACTTATCAGTATCTTGTGGAAGAAACGCACAAAGTGATTACATGACTAACTAATAAATCATGAAGATTTCCATCTAATTAGTCTGAACACTTTCATATATATGGTATAATCTGATCCACACTAAGACACTTCAACCATTCAAGGTGGAAGGAAACTAGTATTTGGGGGCCGTGGGAGGGGTGGGGGGTGCGCTTCAAAGGCACTCGTCAAAAGAGAAACACGCAACAAACAGATCGCGTGAGAATATCAAGTCATCTTTTCACCACTCACAGAAATAATATATCGACAGAAAGCCAGTGAGGAGCACACCAAACAAGACTTTTTTTTCCCTCTACCTTTTCTCTTGGCTCGAAGTTCTTTCAGAGGCTCAAGTAAAAACATGGCTTCTGAGGAAGATGCATTCCAAAGGGAACAAACAAAACAAAAAAAAAAATGAAGAGAAAAAACCATTATGGCCTTAGCGCAAGAAATGTTAGCTAGTCGTAGCAAAGGCCTAAGATGCTACAGAAGTCAATAGTTTCCAAATCCAAATCCACAGCTCAGTAGAAGGAAACAAAATGGCTGCTTAGTGGTGGGAGATTGATATTGTTTCCTTTCTCGAAGGGAGCTGTAAACTTTGGCTTTACAGATGCCATGTCTGTTTATGTTGGCACTTTCAGTGCTAATTAGAGGAGGAAGCTAATTGAGCAAATACATTTGAAAGATTCTGCCGCACTGATTAAAGATAATAGGTCACCGTATACATTTTTTGACGATATCACCAGAGCGGTACGAAGAGCATTTAATTGCGACTTTTTTTTTCCTTTTTTTCTTTTAAACAAAGCCCACATCAACAGGTCACTGCAAAAAACAAACAAACAAACAAAAAAAGCTGCTCACGGCAAACCAAATGGTTAACTCGCTACCTTCTGAGCTCAGAGTGACGTCACACGTGTTGGAAGCATCACACCTCTCTGCTCCTGCTGGGGGCAGCGCAGTCTTGTCAAATGCCAAAAGTTGGTTTGTAGGCTTGACCAAGTCATTGTTATAGCCATGTGATTTTTGACTAGTTAACAAGGTAGTGATGGGCAAATTTTTGTACCAATGCGACATCTACTTTTTATTACAGACTGATGGGACCGGGTCATTCATAGATTTAAATATATTCCTGTGTAAATATCTATTGTTACAACATGGACTCCTCCAGAACGATCTAATTGCACATCTATTTTATTTTTTTTTTTAATTTACTGTGTGCGGTTTAGAATCCGAAAATAAAGAACGGGCCATAATTTTTCCACTTCTGAGTTAAGAGGCTATTTCGGATGGAAATTAGAAAGCGGGAAATTGTGGTTTGGTCTTTAAAGCCAACATATCCCATGCTCGCTCACCTGTTCCGGCCTTTCCCTGCTGCTTTCCCTGCTGATCATGCGTCGGCAAGGTGGAGGTGCCGTCCGGGTAGGCTGGTTTTACAAGCAGTTCGTGTCTGCCCGAGCCACCGCGAGGCAGCGTGGATGACTGGATGTACGGGCCGACTGCTGCCACACGAGATGGACCACCTGACTGTTGTTGACTGGCTGGGCCATCGGAAGGCACCTGGTGATCAGCAAATAAGAAATGTGATTATAATTTAGCATTCATACATCCCGTATGAAGAGGAGAACAGTCAACACAAAACTGTTTTAGACCCCAAAAAACATAAATCAGATTGACACAGACTGCTTGAAACGGTTTGGTAAAAGCACAGAAATGTGTGGAGCATGCCGAGGTTGACTGCCATTAAAAATCAGCCTGGAGGTGGCGTCCTTTTGTCAATTTGTTCAATTTAAGGAAAAAAAAAAAAAAGCACAGTGCTATCTTGGGTTTACGAGCACGCAGACTTAAGTTTTTCTCGCCCCAATAAACAGCCATGACTCGCTACCCTTTCAATTTGAGTGGATTAGTACACCAACACCAAAATGTCAATGTGTCAACATGCACTATCCCTGAAAAGCTGGACGGAACTGACACACGACACCTATCACGGTTCTGTTTTAAGAGCCAGCAAATCCTGTGCAGAGTCAAATTGCAGATATCAGAGGAAAAAACAGGGAACGGATGTTCCTGCCGACGCTAGTTTTGATTACCTGAGGATGTGTGTCTTTTGAAGCCCTCTCTTTACTGGGATAGCCATTCTTGGGAGAACAAAAGCACAAACATGCAACAGCAGTTCAAAATTTAAAAAAAAAAAAAAAAAAATTTTAATGGGCAGCTAACACCGCCTTTGTATTTAGTTCCTATGAAGTATTTCCCCTGCTCTTGGGCTCTGTTAAACTCTGTGACTCAGAGGGAAAGACTAGCTTTAGAGAGCTGGGTGCGTTATGTCAGGAGAGCAGCTTGGGATGGAGAAAGTCTTTGTGTGGACGTGAAAAAGGCCCACTCATTGTGATTCCAGGCAGGATGGGTGAATCACCTCCTTGCACGAACCTTTTTTGGACCTCCCGTCTTAATGAGATACTTTATTCCTACTTTATTGTGCTTGCAAAAAAATAAATGGGGTTTTTCAAGGGGAAAAAAATGCTTTAGAAGGGTTCAGTGGAATCCAACGGGTGCGTCCTAATAAATTAGCATATCATAGAAAAGTTCATTTGTTTCCCTTCGGGTGAAGTCATGTTGGTGTTTAGTCAAACCATACCAGAATACTAATATTGCAGAATCACTCAGTTGCAAATTTATGAATAATTTTAATCATTTAAAAAAAAGATTTAAAAGAAATCAATTTTAGAAAATCTGAAATTGTCTTCTTACCTGCTTCAAAAATCGCCACATCAGTTTAGATTACATGCAAAACAACTGACAAAACTAAAACATATCACAATATGTTAGAAGCTAGAAGGTTCAGATTCATCTAATATACATATATATCTATATTTTATTTCACACTTTCCCTCAACAGTTGTGTGATGATTGATGATACATTTAACATGTTCATTTCTCCACCAATCCCTTTCTCGGGTGCTTATTTTCCTCTCCCCCCGCCCAAAAATAGATGTTGTGTACGCTTTAAGGAAAAATCATCAATCTCGCCCTTTTCCTGTTGCAAGCCACAGAAGATAACATCTCCCCTGACATTACGGCTTGCCTGCAATGTCGGCAGGGCACTTCTAAGTCCACTGGCATGCTAGGGCGAGTGTTGTCCTCCAAATGGGACAAATAAATATATGTATTTTTTATTTTTATTTCACACTTTCCCTAAACAGTTATGTGATGATTGATGATACATTTAACATGTTCATTTCTCCACCAATCCCTTTCTCGGGTGCTTGTTTTCCTCTTCCCCCGCCCAAAAATAGATGTTGTGTACGCTTTAAGGAAAAATCATCAATCTCGCCCTTTTCCTGTTGCAAGCCACAGAAGATAACATCTCCCCTGACATTACGGCTTGCCTGCAATGTCGGCAGGGCACTTCTGAGTCCACTGGCATGCTAGGGCGAGTGTTGTCCTCCAAATGGGACTCAACAGAAAAGCTGATGTGGAACACGAGTGGCGCAAACGGCAGAGTCTTCCACAGAAAAGAAAGTTGTGTTCTGCTTTAAAAACTTCTACGTACAAGGTATGAGGTTTGAAGAAAAACAAATAGCCACAAGAGAGCACTAAGATCGTGACCATTTTTAGATGGGGTCAACTATTGAAAGAATGACCTTGAATTAAAATTGGTTGGTTGAGTAATGCAAGTCATTCTTACAGGGACGTTCTCTTTCTGCTGCAGCGCCACCTTCTTCTTCCAGAGTCGATCGCGCAGCTCGCTGATCCTCTTGTCCATGGCGGCCGCCTCCATGTTGCGCTTGTTCAGGTTCTCGCGCTGCTGCTGCAGTTTGGAGTTTTGGTCCTGGTTGAGCTTGTTCCTCAGCTGGCGAACACAAAAGAGTTCAGGCTCACTGAAGTTCAACCTAACTGAGATGGCCTTAATTTTTTTTTTCTCTTCACTAAGATCGTGACCATTTTTAGATGGGATCAACTATTGAAAGAATGACCTTGATTAAAAGTGGTTGGTTGAGTAATGCAAGTCATTCTTACAGGGACGTTCTCTTTCTGCTGCAGCGCCACCTTCTTCTTCCAGAGTCGATCGCGCAGCTCGCTGATCCTCTTGTCCATGGCGGCCGCCTCCATGTTGCGCTTGTTCAGGTTCTCGCGCTGCTGCTGCAGTTTGGAGTTTTGGTCCTGGTTGAGCTTGTTCCTCAGCTGGCGAACACAAAAGAGTTCAGGCTCACTGAAGTTCAACCTAACTGAGATGGCCTTAATTTTTTTTTTCTCTCACCGATTTCAAAATGCAAATGTAATGACACACACACAAAAAAAAGGGGGTTGCTCGTTTTTTACCCTTCTGGGATTCGTTTTTTTCTCTCCTTCTGAGCTACCAAAAGTATTGACCGATTTTTTTTCAAGCAAGTTATTCCAACACTGGCATATATTCTCTTTTTAGTTTATATTCATGTGAGGCAATATCCCTATTCACATTGATAATTCGCTGTTCTTAGAACAGACATGGTCATTTGAACATTAGCATTGTTCAAAGTTCAAAGCGACTTTATGTTTGCCTTCCGCTGGGCTTCTTTGCAGCCATACAGACAAAAAACATGAAAATGATTCTCTTAGTGGGAATTAATCTCGCTTGTCAATATTTATTGCCCAAGGCAAAGTTATGTCTTGCTTTTTCTTTCCAAGCACGCACCTGCAGCTCCTTGTAGAGACGGTCCAGTTCAGCCACGGAGCTCTGGTTGTCGTGGAAGTTATCCACTTTGCCGCTTTTGAGCAAGTCCAGTTGTCGGCTCAGCTCCTCCACCTTGGACGCGGCCATCACCAGCTCTCTCTGCTTCTGCTGGAAGAGGTTGTTCATCTGCTCGATCTCCTCCACTGAACACAAAAAAGGAAGGGTGTGGAAACAACAGCCAATTGTGTTTCTAAATCCATGTTCGTGGCGCATTGATGTAACAACATTAGAAGATACATGACAACAACATCTGCTGGTTTTGAGAGCTTACCGAGCTTGCCGTTGCTGACGCGCTTCTGCTCAACTTGGCCCTTGAGGGCTCGGACCTTCTTGAGGCGACCCTCCTGGTTCTCGATGTTGTCACGCAGGCGCTGCAGCTTCTCCTGCTCGGAGGCCTGTTGCTGGTGACGCTGCTCCTGCTGCTTCAAGTAGCGCAGTCGCTGCTCCTGGTGGCACAGGTGACAAAGGCACTTACACTCTTGCAAGTACAGATATTTGCATTTTATTTAAAAAAAAAAAAAAATTAAAAAAGGGGGTCTGATAAACCTAGAAGCACTGATTCAACTCATGCATTTACAAGTTGAGGTGAGTGCAGATGATTGCTTTAATTTGCATTCCTTGGCTGATGCAGTTTTGCAGAAATGGCAGGCTGAGGGAAATTGATAAGGTTTGTAAAAAAAAAAAAAAAAAAAAAAAAAACGTTTTTTAAAAATTGGTATCAGTCATCGCAGAATGGAGTAATATCCAAAAGGTGTAGTGTAAAATCTTATCTTACTGCGGTTTGTCTGAGAGCATGAACAAGACTCGTGGCGCATGTTTCATGAGAATGCATGAGGCATGTGTCTCAGGTTCTTAAAAAAAAAATCACCTGCAGCAACTCATCTGACCTGTGAAGAATAACCTCCTTATCTGAAAATCGTCATTTTCTTTTTTTACCCTCCTTTAATCTCCTCTCACTATTTCCTATCCGCTTGCTGTTACTTTTATCACCGCAGCCACCACCACCACCGCCACATAAGCTCTTCATCCTCCATATCCAATCATCTCAACCAGCCCCAGTCTGGCCTTTCATCTTCCTTCTCTCGCGCCGGTTAGTACCTTGGAAGCCAGGAGTTGCTGTTGGGCTTCGATTTGCTGTTGCTGCCTGGCTGCCATTTCTTGCAGCTCGGCTAAAGTCATGTCCATCCTGGGAGTTGACACCTGGGAAAAAAAAAATATCCAGGCAGTGTTGTTTATCCAACCATCAACATTGCATTGTCAAAATGAGGCATTGAATTTATGACAACTTTTGAATTTTTGTACATGGGGCAAATGCCCAAAAAAATGTATCAAAGGTCAAGTGTTTACATATTCCATTTACACTTGTAAGACAGTTACAGGGGATGAATGTGAAAAATGCTACTTAAAACCATGCATGACAATTGACAATAAAAATATTCATTCATTCATGAGCAGTGTTTTTCAAGGTAACGTTTGCACAACTTTTTGTATTCTTTCATGGAATTAGAACAACTTGAAAGTCAAGCAGACCTTGGAGGTTAAGTGCATGAACAAGCAAGTCTTTGTACACGTGCCCCCCCACTCAATTTCAAATTTGCATTTATATACGGGATTAATGAGTTCCCTCGTTGCACATTAGAGAGAAACGAGATTGTGGGTCGCATAGTTGAATGCTCAAACGAGATATCGGGTCACATACTTTATGTGAACATGATGTGCTCAAAGACAACGGCAAGTCAATAAAGCCAATGTGGTTTTAATGAGGGATGACTACAGGAGTTCAGCGCTTTCTAAGATCTAAAAAAAAATGCAGACATTTTAATTATTCAACTTGTTAATTCCCCCAGTAGCAGATCAAGGTCCTTCTTACGGTCTTCAATCCAACATTTTTTGAACAAGTTAAGATTAGTTGTTTAAAAAAAAAAAAAAGTGATGAAATTCAGGCACTCACCCCATTCTCCATCCTTCTGTCGGAGGGGCCTTTCACGCCACTTCTCTTTGGCTCTAAACCTCTGGACCCCCCTATGGGAGCAAAATGGTGGAACACCCAGTGAGACATGAGTACATAAACAAACAAAAAAAACCCTGTAATTGCTCCTTCCCTTTCACAGGCAGCTCTGACACTCCCAACAACACAGGGTGCACACACAGAAACGCACACGCCTTTCTGTGTTATCTCGCGGCTGCTGGCAGTACGGTACTAGATGCACATCAATAGGAAGCAATACAAAAAGGCTGGCTGCTGCTCAATGATCCCCCCCCCCCTTCCTCTGGGAAACAAGAGCATTCTTTGTGACTGGCAGTCTCGGGATTTCACGTCATACGTAGCCGAGTGGCTGGTGGGCGGGTCAAGCAAGTATACTTTCGCCTACATTAGGGATGAGGAAGCTACGGACTGCCGGAACAAGTTGCTTTTTTTACGGCTGAAGGGGTGGGGGGCTTGCAGTCAAGATCTTTGCATAATATCCTTGGATGACCCTTGACATAGTATCATGCGTGTAAACTAGGCAGATAGGTCAACATAAGAGCCAATATTATGTTTTCATTCCTGAATCTGTGCTTCCTTGCCTTCTTGGTATTCAACTGCTTAGCCAGGGAAATGATCCAAGATCTGGTTTGGGAAAGATGACACCGCCAACAACAACAAATCGACTAGAATTATCTTTAAAATGAGACGAATAGGCATGAAGCGACAAGTGTCGTGAATCCAAGAGAGAACTGAGCCAAACTGTGGGAAAATAAGAGGGGCTAAGATAACAGGATAAGATAACAGGAAGAGAAAAGAAGCGTCTAATCTCTCGGCCAGACTCAAGCGGTGAGGGGGCTAAAGGGGCTTAGTTACGCAACTGGGGGCTGAGAGGATCGCACACCACCAAAAATACTCGGGTTTTCGGCGTTCTTAAGGAAAACAGAAAGGTAACAAGCTTATGCCAACTTGACTGGGACCCTTGTGTTCTAAATCCCGCTCAGACGGGAACAGAACAGCAAGTCTATCGTAAAGTGGTGCCTTGAGATGCCAGTGACCCCACTTCAGAGTCTTTGGGGGATACACTGAAATTCCTCTACAACGAAACCTACATGGGCGAAAATACCCCCTAGCGTGAAAAAAATGTTCATGCATGAAAGCCATTCCCACTTTTCTGCTTCCCCTACAACGAAAAATCCCCCTGTTCCGTTATATGAAATCTTTTTCTCTGCTCATGCCTCGCGAATAAAAAGTACACATATACGTTTTGTGTGTGTGTTTACATCTGAGATAAAATTTGCTACCGTGAAAAAACCCCTGTTGTGAAAAATTTCTTGCTGCAAGCATGATTTCGATGTAGAGGAGTTTCACTGTACAAGTAAATGTTTTGGACCATCATTTACGTTGACTTGGGAGAACAGATTTCAGATACGAGCATTATATGTTTGCGGTGATCACATGTCAAAGCCATTCACTTGGCAGCTGATGTGCAATTCTTAAAAATAAACAAAAAAAAAAAAAACCTTTACTGCCATTCCAAGTCGCAGTTCACTGTCAAATGTGCATAAAACAAAGAACTACACGGTGTGTATTAACTACAACCAGATAACTTTGCAGACTAAGGCAAACGCATAATGCGGAAGCCACAGACAGGCTAATAAAATCCGTGGTAAAACACTGGGCGCAATGGATCTTTGAACACACACCTTGGAGAAACACATGCGGTTAATATAAGAATACTGACAGGCATACATTCTTCGTCCTCTGCAAAGAATGAGTTTTAATACCGCCAATTACTGAGCAATCCTTTATGCATATCCATATATTATACTGCCCCGATGTGACCAGGGGCTATAGACCAGAAAAAGCAGCACATTCTTCATTGATTGGAGAAAAAAAATAAAATACTGTACATTGTTTCATTGCGCTACATTCTATATAAGTATGCCATTACTCTGTTTTTATAAAGGACAATATTTTTATTGACTGCAATTTTTCTTTAAAAAAAAAAAAGTTACAAATATTTTTGTTGACTTTCTTTTGGGCAGCTGGAATGGTTTAACTGCATTTCCATTCATTTCAATGAGTGTTTTGAGTTACAAGCGTGGCCATCGAGCAAATATTTTACATTGGGCAGCTGTGATACCGACTTCTGATGCGTGTCCATCGATACGCAAATAAGATATTTTTGGGGGACACTTTACTGGATAAAACTGGCAATTTTCTACTTCAATATTTTTATTTACTGCAATTTTTCTTTAAAAAAAAAAGTTACAAATATTTTTGTTGACTTTCTTTTGGACAGCTGGAATGGTTTAACTGCATTTCCATTGATTTCAATGAGTGTTTTGAGTTACAAGCGTGGTCATCGAGCAAATATTTTAGATTGGGCAGCTGTGACACCGACTTTTGATGCGTGTCCATCGATACTCAAATAAGATATTTTTGGGGTACACTTTACTGGATAAAACTGGCAATTTTCTACTTCTGTGAGTTGAAGAAACAAAAGGTTGGGTGGGCACACTTACCAGATTCCCTATTTGGGGCCCGATTGTGACGCAGAAAGCAGCGCAC